TCTGAGATTCTATTTTCTGAATGATCTAGTCTGCTTTTAATACTTTCAAGGGAGATTTTGATTTCCTGTATAATAGACTTCATCCCTAACAGTTCCTTTTGAGTTTTTTGTAAAGTGTGTAATTCCTCTTTTAGATCTTGCAAGAATTTCCTCATCTTTTGGAACTCATCAACTTCTTTCTCCTTTCTCTTTAGCAGTTCATTGCCTCTCTTCTCTTCCATCTCTGTTAGCTTAGACATTATGAATGCTCTAAATTCCTTATCAGACATTTCCATGATTTTCACCGAACTGTCTGTGGATGAAGAAGAGTTACTCTTATCCCTTGGCGGAGAGGTATTTTCTTGTTTTCCCATATTTCTTGTTATCCGGCAGTGATTTCTTGTCATCTGATGGATGGTGTGTTTCTTTCAAATTCTTAAAGTTCAGTCTGAATGTTCAGGAGCAAGCAGACAGAGGTGATCTAGAATCTCTTTGCCGTTCTGTTGTGATCACTGGTGCAGCAGATTCAATAGATATTGGGGGATATTTTAACCCTATTAGTATTTGGATGTTTAGCTACAGTGCTCTTAGATCCTTCTAGTTCGCTGGAGCCATGTGGAACCTTCTTCTCGAGTATTACAGTCTTGAATGCCTACATTGGGTCATTGGAAAAGTCATGATGCATTTTTGCATAGAAAAACACATCATGACTTTTCCAATGACCTAATATTTTAGATTTTTGAACATGGTTTTGTGGTATCTCTCTCACCCTATTTCTTATGTGGCAGAGATAGTCAATGTTCATCAACACTCATGTTCTGTTTTTCCTCCTGAACACACAGCTGCATTACATTTCCCAGCCTTCCTTACAGTTGAATATGACCAAGTTTTGCCCAGTGAAATCTGATGTGACAGAAGCAATTTGAGCCATTTTCAGGCCTAGCCCATAAAAATGCTTGAATCTCACTCTTCATCTCCATCCACTGTCTGAGTGGAAAGGGCTCAAAGAATCTTTTTTTTTTTTTTTTTTTTTGAGAGGTTTTTGCTATAGGGCACGTGTGCCTACCAGACAGACAGAGAGAGACAGAGAGACAGAAAGTGAGAAATCACCCCCCAGGGGGGATGGCCACGCTGCAATCCCTTCTCCTCCAGTTTCCTCTTGGGATCTTGGGCACGCACACACACGTGCCCGGTGTGAGTTTAAGCCACCAGGTCCAAGACTTGAACCGCGGGCGACTCCGGGGGAGTCCAGCAACATAGCCATTACGCTAACTGCTGGTCCCAGGGCTCAAAGAATCTTTTTTTTTTTTTTGAGAGGTTTTTGCTATAGGGCACGTGTGCCTACCAGACAGACAGAGAGAGACAGAGAGACAGAAAGTGAGAAATCACCCCCCAGGGGGGATGGCCACGCTGCAATCCCTTCTCCTCCAGTTTCCTCTTGGGATCTTGGGCACGCACACACACGTGCCCGGTGTGAGTTTAAGCCACCAGGTCCAAGACTTGAACCGCGGGCGACTCCGGGGGAGTCCAGCAACATAGCCATTACGCTAACTGCTGGTCCCAGGGCTCAAAGAATCTTAAGTAAGGCCTCAAGATGGACATAGCCTGGGCCACCAAATAAAATAAGTTGTGGAATAGAGTGCTTCCCCACCCATGTTGGATTGTTATTGTGTTAAGTCACTAAGACTAGGCGGTCTGCTTTTAATATTCAAAAATTTAAATATTTTTTATTTAAAACTTTCAAATTAAAATAGTTTTTATTTAAAAACAATTAAAAATTCACAAGCTATTGCAAAAATAGAGAGGTCCTGTACAGGGTGGTCATGTAGCTTTCTGTAACTATAGAAACTGTCAAACTGTGAAATTGACATTGGAACAATACTGCTAACTAAACTATAGACCTAATTTGGATTGTGGTGCTTTGAATTGCTCTAAAATACTCCACAATACGAATCTACCATTTTGCTTATCAAATCCCCCAGGAGTGGATATCCACAATGGACATCTTTTTTGTGTGTGTTCTCTTTGGATCATGGAGACATTTCTTCAGGGTACATACCCAGGAGGGCAATTTCTGGGTTCTAGGGCATGCGCATACTTAATTTGCCTAGGCCCCATCAGGTTGTCCTGTGGAATTGCCCCCTCCATCCATAGTCCCAATGCCTGAGGTTCTTGAGACCCTACACCTCCAAGAACACTTGGCATTCTCCTGCTTTCTTGGCTTCACAGGCTAACAGGTGAACAACGACATCCCATTGTTTCAGTTTTCATCTGCCTGAGGACATTCAGCTGGAGCACCTCTTCACATGCTTTTGTTCACATTATGGGTATCCTCTCTTCTTTTACAGAAAAAAATTCAAAGAAATCAGGGTGATGTCTGCCCTTTTGAGTCATGATGCCATGTCAAATCGTCGGGATCTGCAAAATACAGAAGCAAGATCAGAGTCCATCCTTGGAGATTGGGGTCTAAAGCTCAGCCATGTGTGTGAAAATAGGGGTAGTCACTCCCCTCCCTTGGCCTTGATTATTATGCCCAGAAAGTCCAAGAAAACCATGATGGGCTTGACAGGAGGAAGGAGCAGCCATGGAGAGGGCTGGAAGAACTGTGGTTGATAAAGGTCTCTGATATTGGGTAGTGACACACGTGCCCAATCCAGTGCTTCCTCCTGGAAAGTGTGAGCACTGGTCCTCACAGAAATTGAAGTCCCCAAGAATATTCACTGACTTATTCAATCAGTTAACAAATACATGTCAGGCACCTACTATGTGTTCCAAGTAATGTGGACATAATAGTGGGTCCAAGAGAAAAGTCTCTGCCCTCGTGGAGCTCATATTTCAATAGAGTTGTTTTCTTATTGTCCAGAATACATTCAAGGCTGGGGAATGCAGGGCCCAGACAGTCTGAGAAGGGGCTGCCTCAGAGGGCCTCGACTTTCTACAATGACCTTCACCTCTACATCTACTGTGCCAGAATTTATCCAGACATCTCTCTCCTTTCGAACCTTCTGATTCTTACTATTAACACGTTTTTAGAGGGTAAAAAAGGGAAGGGGGCTGGGGTAACTGAGGGTCCTCAGATCATTCAGAGAGCCCCCTCCTCATTTCCCCCACATCTGGGGCCCCCATGTCCTCCAACCCAGTGTCCAGCCTTCCCTATTCCTAGCAGCAGCATGTCCAGGAGAGGGAAGCCAGGGCAGAACAGGAAGATGTGGAGGGTTGATCTACAAAGGCATCTGAAAAACCTTCAAGCTCCTCCTTCTCCTTCATTCCCTGACCTTGGTTCCAAGGCACCTCATGACCCTGTCAGCAGTAACCAACACCTGACTTACCTTCTCAGGTGAGACAACACAGCTGCCCTGATCTGCAGGGGAAGACAGAGGAGAGACAATTGCAGTTATGCACTCTAAGGGGAATGGTTATTCACTGCGTCCCCCACAAGAAAAGGGTGTCCTCTGAAGTCTTCAAACTTGTGTGGGAAGCCTCCACAGTATGGCTCCTAGAGTTTCCACCGTTAACATCCCCCACCTCCCGCCCTCCCACCACACACAACTCTTGCTCCTCACTCAACACTTTACCATTCCCGAGCTCCAACCCTAGAGAAAGTAAGGGGTGCTGAACAGCTGCCTGGAAAGGGCACCCTCTGACACCCTGTGTCAGAAGTCAAGCCTTCAACTTGGTGTTCAAGGTCTCTGCAAGCAGGCCTGTACCTATGTTTTCATCATTAACTTCCGGACACCTAGAAAGGAATTCTGGCGTCTTGCTCCACACTCACTACCCTTGCATCCTCCCAGCCACCATTCCAGAGGAGTGGAGGGGTCTCCTATGTGCAGAGAGCACTCTTTGGTTGCTGTGCCCAGCATAGTAAGGTCTGATGCCTTTGGCATGACATTCAAGGGTTCTATGATCTGGTCTGTGCCAACTTCTCCACCATTAACTTCCATTGGAGGAGAAAGAAAAGCCAGGAATCTGGTTCATCCATCCAGGGGTCCCCTCTCCCTATAGAAATGGAAAAGGAAAACCATGACTACCTGGTCTCTCAGGAAGCCCAGGAAGTAGCCCACGGTGGCTGTCAGAACCATGCCAATCAATACTCCGAACACAATGCCAGCGATGCCCCCTCCAGGGATGGAGGGTCCATAGACGCCAGAGCCCTGATTGTTCTTATCTGGGGCTTCTGTAGAGAGAGGAGGAACAGAGATGGGGAGGCTGTGGTAGGTTGAAGAGTGGTGCCCAAAGACAGCCAGGTCTTAGTCCCTGCAAGTGTTACTTTATATGATAAGAAAAGGCTTTAAATTTTATGATGAAAGGCCAGCAGGTGACATGGTAGTTGGGGTGCTGGACTCTCAGTGGCTGACCTGATTCAAGTCCCAGACCTGGCGGCTTGCTTTCCAAAGTTGCTTCTCTCTGTCTCCCTGGTGAGCACACATGCCTTTAGCAAATTAGAATGATAGTAATAATCTTAATCATAAATAAAATTAATTAAAATGAAGTTAAAGATCTTGAGAGAGGAGATGAGCCTGGATTATCCAGGTGAGCCCTAAAAACGATTACAAGTGTCCATATGAGAGGGAGGTCTGGCTCAGAAGAGAAGGACATGTGAAAGAAGCAGTCCAGCAGAGGGAAACCGAGAGAGGGCGAGGCAGACAAGATGCAATGCACCGGCCTTGAAGATAGACGAAGGGGCCATGAGCCAAGCAATGCACTGCTAGAAACTGGAAAATGTGCAGAAATGGGATCTCCCCAGCCTCCCGGGGCAGCATAGCTCAGTTGACACAGCTCTGCCAACACTTTGACCTCAGCTCTATGAGACTGACTTTGGAATCTGACCTCCAGAACTGTAAGAGAATCAATCTGCGCTATTTTGAGCCACTCCTTTGGGAGTCATTGTTACAGGAGCCATAGAAAACTAACGTGAGCCCAGCACCCCATGAACACTCCTCCTGGCTCCCTGGGCTACAGCCCTCTCAGCTGAGCATCATTGATCTTCAGGCCTCCCAGCCAAAGGCCTCGAGAGAGTGAGCTCATCCGTCCCAATATCCATGTCTCAGATGGGGAGATGAAGCTTAGAGATGCTAATACTGACTTCTCCAAGGTTACCAGGAGTTAGAGGCAGAGAAGGGGCTGGGACCCAAAGGTCCTAGTCACCACACTGTTCATTCTACTTTCCAGTATTTTACTAACATTCACATTCTTCCTTCACAGTGTTTTTCCCACTTCCATTTGTTGCTTTAATGTTTTTCTTTTTCTTTTTTTTTTGGAGAGATTTTCACTATAGGGCGCGTGCGCTCGCCAGACAGACAGAGAGAGACATAGAGACAGAAAGCGAGAAATCACCCCCCAGGGAGGATGGTCACGCCGCAATCCCCCCTCCTCCATTCTCCTCTCAGGATCTTGGGCACGCACGCACACGCGCCCGGTGTGAGTTTTAAGCCACCGGGTCCGGGACACGAACCGTGGTCGACCACGTGGGAGTCCAGCGACACAACCATTACGCTAACTGCTGGTTCCCGCTTTAATGTTTTTCTTAATGTTGACTCATAATTTTACTTAAATAAATTAAAGTATTAAAAAAAACTTTTTAAAAAGTTCCAAACAAATGGCTTGACTTTTCATTTTTCAATTGAAAATTAAATTACAAGGGCCAACAGATGGCATGGTGGTTAAGGTGCTGGACACTCCCACATGGCAGACCCAAAGTTCGAGTCCTGGACCTGGCGGCATGCTTTCTCGCTCTCTCTCTCTCTCTTTCTCTCTCTCTCTTTCTGTGTGTGTGTGTGTGTGTGTGTGTGTGTGTGTGTTCAGTCAAATTAAAATAAAGTGAATGAAGAAATAAAATTAAAAAATAATTTTTTAAAAAAGATTAAATTACCATGGAATGACTTTTAATTTTTCAACTTTAGGATGATGTAGGCTGCCACTTGTTTGTTTGTTTGAGGAAAAAATAAAAACAAACTGGCAATGATTTTGGTTTAAAATAGTAAAGATTGCATTCTGTTTTCCCTATATTACGAAATTGTGTCGGATGATTTTACTCAACTGTAGACTACCATAAGTATTCGGAGCACATTAAGGTAGGCTAAGCTCCCTTACGTTGTTTTGTACCTTAGATCTATTACACACATTTTTTATTTTCAGTATTTTCAACTGGGATGGACTTGTCAAGACATGAGTAACCCCATCGGGAGTTGAGCACGAGTAGGAAGCTAAGCCAGATGGTTCTAGCTACACACAGACACCGGGGCCTGCTCTCTCCATTCTAAACACGAAATGAGCACGTGCTAAGGAGAGGGCTAAAGACTGAGTCAGGACTTCCTGTCAGTATAGTCGGAAAGGCTGAACGAATTCGAAGAGGTGCTGTCTCTCTCTGTCATGTTTCAGTGATATCTTATGCCATGTCCAGATGCCACCAGACACGCCATACCATATCAGCTACTATATGAACTCATCCTGGGTTCCACCAGAGGGGGTGTCTGACACTTGGGGGAACTGTGCTCAGACTATATTTCTATCTCCCAGTGGTCTAACCCAATGCTAAGCACGCAGCAGGTACTTCATAAATGTATTTTCTCAATTATAAGATGCTATCAATGACTCCTTATACCACTGACTTACTGGTGGCTGCGGTGTGTTAATAGCAAAGCAGAGGTGGGGGGACATCGACGTTTCTAATCAGAGTGTATGCAACTTGGACAGTAAGTGAACAAACGCAGACATATATGCTGAGTTTCCTTCCAAGACCTCCATCCTGGCTTTCAACAAGATGCTATGTTCCCTGAGAACAAGAACCATGCCCACCCTCTTCCTCCCTCACTCCCCAAGCCAAGCCAAGATGCTTGGCCCTTAAGCCACAAGGAAAAATGATGGGGTGGCAACAATCCTGTTCTATATGGAAGCAGTTTAATCCAGGTCTCTCAAAGACAATAACTTTTCTAGTTTTCAGAGAACCCAGATGAGATAAACCCAGATTTTCACTCTCCTTGCTCCGTCCCACCTCAACGTCTTTGCACTGTTCCCTCTGCCTGGAAGTTACTGAAACTTCCTGCCCTGCACCAGGTTCACCTACTCAATTATATGAATGGATGGGTGGTTGGACGGTTGGGTGGCTGGACGGTTGGGTGAATGTTTGTGTGGATGAGTGGCTGGGTGGGTGTGTGTATGTTTGGATGGGAAGTGAATGAATGAGTGTGTGAGTGAATAGATGATGTCCTAATAGGGAGATGAATGAATGGATGTGTCCATAGATGTGGATACACAGTGAATCAGCAGGTGAATGGATGGATTGAGGGGCAGATAGCCATGTGGGCTGATGAATCTATGGGTAGACAAGTGGGTGTGTGGGTAGGTGGATGGATGATTGTGCAGACAAATGGATGGATGGGCTGGTGAGTTTGGTGGGTGATGGATGGGTGTGTTATGGGTGAACAGATGACCCAAGGAAGCCCCTCACCTTTGATACGGACTTCCAACTGGGCTGTGCTCTGCATGCCCGTGTCCGCATTGGTGGCCTGGCAGCGGTACAACCCTGAGCTATTCAGCGAGACATGTGGGATGGAGAGGAGCTGCCCGGCCACCGCTAGACTCCCGGCCACCGTCCACGTGTACTCAGCAGGCGGGTTGGAGTCGGCAAAGCAGGAGAGGGTGAGATTGGAGCCGACCACAAAGGTGGAATCCATGGGATTGATCAAGGGGATGTCGGGACCATCTGGGGAGACAAGACAGACATCATCAAGGGAAGAGATTGCCCCACCCTTTCTCTGTTTCCAACCCAGGTCCATCGAGTCACAGCTTCTGCCCAACTTCTATCACATTTCTGTTAGCAAAAAGGTGACCATTGGGGCCAGCAGTTAGCATAATGGCTATGTCACTGGACTCCCACATAGTCGACGGCGGTTCAAGTCCTGGACCCGGTGACTTAAACTCACGCCGGGCGTGTGTGCATGCGTGCCCAAGATCCCAAGAGGAGAATGGAGGAGAAGGGATTGCGGCGTGGCCATCCCCCTTGGGGGGGTGGGTGATTTCTTGCTTTCTGTCTCTCTGTCTCTCTCTGTCTGTCTGGCGAGCGCACGCACCCTATAGCAAAAACCTCTCCAAAAAAAAAAAGGGACCATGACATGCCCCCCAACCATGGTAGACCCCTTCCCTGTGGCTTCTATCCCTTTGTGCTCCATCTCATCTCCCCCTGTCAGAATGGCTTGTTTACTCAGGTCATCGGCAGAGCAGAGGTAGGTGCTCAGTGCCAGGTTGCCCAGGTTCAGTACCAGCTCTGCCCCTACTGGCTGTGTTTCCTTGGGCAGATATCTTAACCTCTTTTTCTCAGCCTCAGTTTTCTTTCTCTGTGAAATAGGAATATAGTAGCTCCTTCACCAAAAAAATTATTATGATCATCATTGTTATTAATCCCTTTCTCCAGGGCCGGAGGGAGAGAATGGGTTACCCGTCTGGGGACATTGATCACCAATTCTTGAGATATGTACTAAGGTCCCCCTAAGTGCCAGCTGCCAGAGGAGTCCTGCAGGCAGAGTAGCAGAGGAGCAGACCCCACCCATGCCCCGCAGAATTTAAACTCTAACCGTGAGGACTCACAGGTGGCAGTGTCCACCCCATGCCAGGGGCTGTCCTAAAGATTCATCTCTTCCCCAAGCAGCCCTGCACAGAAATGGGATAGTCATGGCACCTACACCCCAGGTTGCAGGTGAGGACTGAAGAGGCGCCCCATGAACGGGGCCTCATGTTTGTGCACAGTGGATGGCGGCTACTGTGGCTGTTTGCACTTGCCACGTTCCCTCCCCCGAGGTACCTCCAAGCTGGGCCCAGGCAGAGGACACTCACAGTCCACGTTCACGGGCAGGGGTCTGCTGAGGCTAGAGGTGACAGAACTGCTGGCCTCGCACTGGTAGAGTCCCGTGTCATTCCGTGTGATATTCTTCAAGGTGAGGATCCTGTGGTCTGGGGACAGCTCCCCTCGGCCCCCCTCATCAAGGAGGCTACTGTCTTTGAACCACCTGATGGCTGCAAATCTCTTTGGGGGAACACACGTGAGGGTGACGGAGCCCGTGTTCTCCACGGGGGTGGCGTCATCAGCCAGGATGTTGGGCTGAGGCATGTATTCTGTTGGGGACAGGGAGCAAGGAAGGAATGATGGTGAGAGGGTGGGGGGTCATCTTCACAGCCACGTTCACCGACCTCTGCGATCCTTAACCTCCTCCACCAAGACCGCTGTGCATCTCAACCTTCCCCGAAGCCCTCTCCTCCCTGGGCTCAGAAACACGCCCCTTCCTGTGTAGCAGGTCTAGACCGTCCAGTCCAGGCTAGGTCTGCATGGTCCAAGACAGTGGCCACCTACCGCATGTGGAGATGGTGGAAAAAGTGGGACCATGCCAAACCGAGATGTGCCGTGAGTGTCAAATACACATAGGACTTCAAACACTTAGGAAAAAGGAAAGGGAATCTCTAGTTAATCATTTCATGTAGTTTGGGCCGGCCAGTGGCATGGTGGTTAAGATGCTGGATCCCACATGGCTGACTGCTTGGCTCAAGTCCAGAGCTAGCGGCATGAGAAACACACCAAGAATGTGTGCGTGTGTGCCCAAAATCCTGAGAGGAGAATGGAGGAGAAGGGATCGTGGCGTGGCCCTCTGCCCTGGAGTGGGGCAGCTTTCTCCCTTTCCCTTTTTCTCTGCCTCTCTCCAGCAAGCACATGCACCCTATAGCAATTTTTTTCCTTTCTTTGAGAGATTTTTGCTATAGAGTATGTGCACTCACTGGGGAGACAGAGAGAAACAGAGAGATAGAAATCACCCTAGGGGGTGATTTCCACAGACGTCTGGGCCAGCGCCAGCACAGGCGGCAGGCCTGGGTTTCCTGAGACTGAGACGCGCTCCACGGCCAGAGCCGGCAGTGCCGTGGGAGGCCAGCGGGAGGCCAGCGGGAGGCCAGCAGGCGCCGTCTCCTTCCCAGGGTCCTTCATCCTGTTTTAGGTCCTTGCTTTAGTGGAAATGTATGACCCGAGGTCTCCTCCAACTTGCCGCTTTTTATCTTGGTTTTCTCATTTTTATTTGGAGAGTTTGGCGAATCTTACAAAGTGGGTAAGTAAGGGCCCTCCTTAACCCTTTGGGTTCTGGTGTCCTAACCAACACCTGACAAAGGACTGAGGCATGGTTTAGTCATCCTGACAGAAGAAGACCCAGAGGAGAAGGATTGCAGCATGGCCAGCCCGATTGGAGGGTTCTCTCTCGCTGTCTCTGCCTAGTGAGTGCAAAAGCCCTCTGGCAAAACAAAACAAAACAAAACAAAAACACGTAAGGAGGGAGAAACGGAAGGTCCAGAGATTCAGGACTTTTTCCCAAGATTATGACAAAGAAATTAATGAACTCGGTGCAGCCGAAAGCCCTGTAGTCCCAGCCAATGGCTTCCTTTGTGACCGTGAGAATTCCCGAGTGCCCTCCCACCGAACTTCTCCCACCTCTCTGCAATGGCCTGGGGTCAGAGTGGTGCCTCCCAGGGCTCCATCTGGTCAACCAGAGCCCCCTCCGATTCCCCCACTCACCAGGGACGACAATCAGTGTGTTGGTGGCACTGCGGCTGCCGGAGGCAGGGGTGGGGAAGCCCCCAGCCGTGCCCAGGTGGACAGCAGACAGGAAGAGCTGCTGGCCAACAGGCCCTGGGCTCCCATTGATCGTCCATGAGTACTGGGCCGGGGGGTTGGACACGCTGGAGCAGGACAGGGTGAGGTTGAAGCCGACTATGAAGCTGAGGTCAGCGGTGGCGACTGTGGGCACGTCTGGACCGTCTGCAGCAGCCAGAACAAATTCCCCAGAAGGGCCGCATCAGGGGCCTGGCGTCTTGGTCAGGCTGTGCCATTTCCCTCCAACTGGCTGCTGTGTGACCTTGGGCAACTGGCCCCCTTCCCAGGTCGGTGGGCTCAGCACTTTCCTGTCATCCTTCAAGGGAAGGGACTGTGTCGATGTCAGTTTCTGACACGTTTTCAGTGCTCAGTATGATATTTCCAAAAGATTATAGGAAATGGAATTAAAGAACGAGTTTATTTTGGTGCCAATTGGAAACCCATGTTGGTTTTTTTTGTTTTTGTTTTTGTTTTCTAGTTTTGGAGAGGTTTTTTTGCTATAGGGCGTGTGCGCTTGCCAGACAGACAGAGAGAGACAGAGAGACAGACAGCATGAGATCAACCCTCAGGGGGA